AGTAAAGTACTATCTGCTATCCCGTTCTGCCTTCTCTTCCTAACACGTAACTTGGGGGACATAACCGGTGTTGACACAGGAACACACAAGGTTATAACACGCGAGTGTGGCCGCGCCCTTTGGATGTTTCTAGGGTTTAGATTACAAACTACGATATCCCTAACTTATTTCGCATCGTTTCTGCCATAACAGTAAATACTGCTGCGATTACCGATACCATGGCAACCGGACACGCCATTCAGTTGCGCACTGAAGAACAATAAGCCTGTCCGCTTTCGTCACGCGAATACAGGAGAATGAAGATGTCCACTTTATTCCTCCTTAATGGCCTCCTGGTTTTTCACCGTAGGGGTGTAGGCTCTAACGATGTCGGTAACTAATCCCATCAGGTGAGCTGATTTTCTCATCAAGATAAGCAGTCCGATGATTTGTGGGCCCCGTGTAGGATAGTTGCAGCAACTGCAGGTATATTGCGCCCCCAGTATTGTCGAGCCGTCCCTGTTATGAGGAGTGGGTTTCATTATGTACGACAGTAGTCACCTCGGGTTATATGATGGGCCAATAATAAGGTTTGTGTTTCTTAATGGATGGTTTAGGAGTCAGTTATCGCAGGAGAACGAAATATAGCCTGTAGTGTCACGGGTGAATGAGATCGCTGTGTCGGTTGGCTCGTCCATAAAGAGGGAGAAGACTTAATTATTTCCGAGCTGCATTCCCGGCCAGGACAAAGAACCTCTGGGGATCAATGGCCATCAACTTGATGAAGTAGACGGCTTTAAATGCCTTGAGATGAGGCTGCCACCGAAAGGACAGAGTAAGAACGACATTTTATACCGAATCGATGCTCCTCACCGGGTTTTCTTAATCCCCCGAAACCACCTATGGATTCGACGCGACATCTCCATCGCCGCGAAGATTCGTGTGTACCGTGCATCCGTTCGGTCAGTTCTCCTCTATGGGTGTGAATACTGGACTGGAGGTGTGTGACCAGCATTGCCTGAGGACCATCTTTAGAGTGAAGTATATCGGCTTTATCTCAAATGAGACAGTCCGCACTTGCAGCGACGGTATCTTGGGGATATCTTAGGCCATCCAAAAAAGACGACTGAGGTGGTCTGGGCACATTCACTGTCGAGAACGGAGGGCTATTCTGCCCTCGATCCGGCACCCCAGTCCACCTAGAGGCATCGAATAGAAGGTCAACCCAAGGCTTGGCTCGGCACCATTCTTCAAGACATGGAAGCTGTTCTTGGACCTTCGGTTTTCGGTCTCCGTCGCCGGAGCAGATAAGGGGTTGAGTTTGCTAGATCCATTGCCGACAATCGTCCTGTGTGGAGAAGTACCGTCTATGAAGTCGATGAGACCGGCTAGATCAGGCCTAATCACAGCCATACCAAGTACAAGCAGGGGGGCGTAGGCTTCAATGACTTCTGTAGTTAATTCCATAAGGTGAGCAGATTGTTTCATCAAGATACGGATCCCGATGACCAGTGAAGCCTGTTTAGTATAGTTCCTCCTTCGTAGTTACAGTTCCCGGTGTATTGCGTGTAGTAACGGTGGCACTTTGTGGTGTCACCGTTGAATTACGCCCTTTGGAATCCCCAATGAAGAACACAATAAAAGGGCTTACTTTTGAATCCACCCAGAGGAGAGTTTATTGTGTACAAAATCCGGAGTTGCTGTCTCCATAGGCACTGCCCGGCAAGCGGGAGCGGACGGACGGTGTCCTCACAGTCCGTGTGCCACTCACTGTCTGAGATGTGACAGTGGCTTTCAAGTGATTGTCAAGCGCGCTCGCTTGTGACTTGATCGGGCGCATTGGTATAACGTCACCTGCCGTGACAAAAATGTGGCTCTTGAGGAACTGCGACCAGTTGGCACGCGCGTAGACTCACGTGCATCTGTGTCCTCTCCAGAGGTGGAGGTCATCAAGTGTGGACAGTTATCGCGTGGGTACAACCACCGCGAAGGCATATGACTTCTAAGGCAGTCCTCATTGACAAAGGAATCATTTTGGCAGTCGGCGGCAGGCACGACGTCCCAGGAGAGCCTGCAATGTTGCTAGCATTTGGTCAGTCTAGACCCCTAACATTGCGCTTCGGTATTGTCGGGCCACCCCTGTTATGAGTGGGTCTCACTGCGCACGGCAGTCGGCGCCTCGGGTCGTGTGATGGACCAATGATAGGGTCTGCATTTCCTAATGGATGATTAAGAATTTGGTTATCGCAAGGAAACCGAATAGTACAGGCGACCAGAGTGAGTGACAGCACAAGGACACCGGAGATCGAGCAAAATGCAGCACTTTGTTCCTCGACAAGCTGCTTAGTCTTCCTCCTGTAAATGCTATGCAGTACTCCACAGAATACAGCTGCTGTTCAACCACCCAGACACTCGCTGAGGGAATCAAACAAAATAGAATGCAAAGAGAGTTCGCACGTAACCAAAAATACCTATTTGTATGTACACAGAGGATTTTTGCCTACAGCTTGAAAGGGCTTAAACGCATTTCGCCGAAGTCAAACGTGGGTAATGTGAGGATAGTAGTGGTAGCTAGCAGAGGTCTCTCAGAATAACAGATGCAAAACTGCAAAAGATTAAAATTTGGACAGGGTTAACGTAGTTTGACAACAAGCTATAACCCTCGGAAGACATCCTCTAACTAACTTCTCTAGTTCAACTTGGACAACGCCTTTGACGGAGTGCCGACAAAATCATATGCACTTAGACTTGTAAACAGTAAAAGTCGCCTCGATCGCCGCAAGCGTGCGTTTTCCACCAATCAGGTGCCTTAAAACCTAACTGGCGGAGGACGCAAGCCCACAATGCAACTGACAAAAAATATCCGAATAAATTATGTGATCTTCTGTGCAATTGACCGGGCCCTATATTAACTGTTAATCGACTAGAACGCAGTCACTCAAGCGGAATACCATACTCATACCTATGCAGTCATTAGGGCCTACTTGAGTGCGACGTCAGTCACGCTGAAACCGGTGCTCTGGTGTTCCTACCCCCGTGACGTCTACGGTATTTATATCGACAACTGTCGTCACGACAATGCTTCCACCCTTCCCACGGACGGCCCCGAGGCCCTACAACGAAGAACCGTCGCTGACTGCATCAAAACTTTGTTAGACGCAGTAAGGCTACATTTGACGAGGGATCCCCGTATACTTTCGAAGTCAAGATAATGAAGCGATTGTAAGTAAGAATATGTCTTCAGTGCGAGAGCACTTAAGACGGAGCAAAGGAATTCATCCTAGCACCACAGTGATAGCCACAGCCAAATGTTTACTCATGGAGTTGACATAGAGCAATTCAAGCGTCTCCGTCCAGAAAAGGAACATCAGGGGAGCATCTATTGCGACCGATCATCCATCTGATCCAGAGCCCCTGCAATCTGTGTGATAACCAGCCTCCGGTTAACTACATGAGGTGTGCCATCTGTAGCAGAAGATCAGCTAACCTAGAGAGAAATGAATATCAATACAATATAGGAGAACCCGATCGCGTGGATGTGATCGGGAGAGGACGTATTTATTTCGGAAAGTATGATCACTTCAAGTTAATGGAAAATGCTGAAATCGTTTCAATAGAGTCAAGCAATGCATGTTTATCACCATTCCTCGTTTCAGAAGTGACTGATAGAGGCCGGAGAGTATTAAGGAACGTCGGAAGAGTAAAGCAAAGACAACTAAGTCGACATGCGCAACAGGGGGGGGACTCGGGGATGGCAGTTGCCTACCGAAAAGGGGAACGAAGGCGGACTCAATGGAACGCATGCCCGGCATGTGTAGTTTGGCACAAAAAGGGGATAGCAGGACGCTGCTCACCTAGCACAGAAAATATGAGTCTCCTTTGTACAGATGAAAAGTCCAGATGTAAAATGCCGACGAATAAGGAGCATAATCGCGGTAGACACAATAAGAAAACTAGGTTAAAACAATGCGCCTAGACGTGAGATCGGTATTTGAGAAGCAGGAGCAGGACAGAAAAAGATAAAGCAGAAGTGGATGTAGGTGGGGGGGGGATAAGAGAAGACTCCTTCTAAGGAATTATGCAAGAGACGGTGGTTACTGCCGCAGAGAAACGCAAGTCATGGTGGTCAACGGATATGAACTTCGTTGAGAAGAGTCGCATACACCTCGAAATTACGCGGATCCATTACAGTGGGAAGGGAGTTTCTCTGATCTATTGAGAGTAGGTGCTGACGTTGCCGTTCCTGTCTCGTGGAATGATCTTGGGACTGCTGTGGCTGTTGCTGCTGTTGAACGTGACTATGGTGACTATGTTCATGATGACGTTGATGGTGATGTTGGGGCGCTTGGCTCCGAAGTCGAACAGGCTCCTGTATAGTCGAAACAGTTATCTGGTTGGGCGGTTGATTGTAGTCGGTAGTTAATCCCTGGCTCAGCCGCTGCGCGACTGGCATTCCTACAGCGTGGTGCGAATGATACGCAGTAGGATAGCTATGCCTGGCGGAATCAGTGGGCATTCTAAGAGCATGATGACGAGCCTGGCTTCCGTCGTCCGTTTCAGCGGGCTCTTT